GTGAGGGAGGGAAGGGGGCGTCAGCACTGTACTCACTTAACCCCCCCCAAAACCCCGGGCAGACGGTGAGGGAGGGAAGAGGGGTCAGCACTGTACTCACTTACCCCCTTCTCAAACAACACTCGTCCCCCCCACCCCACAACCACCCTAACATCTCTCACATGCTCCGATCAACGACCCTCGCCTCCCCACCAACAACCCTCACACTCCAAATCAATCCACGCACAACTCCATTTACTTCAATACAAGAGGCCTGACAGGTAAGGCAGATGACCCCAGGGCTTGGTTGGGACCGGCATATCATAGCCGCTGCAGAAACGTGGCTCAGGGGTGGACAGGACTGGCAGCTTAATGTTCCAGGCTGTAGATGTTATCAGAAGGAGGAGAGGAGGGGGAGTGGTGCTTTTGGTTAGGGAGATTATTGCTGAGAAATTGTCCAATGAAGTTATAATGGGGGAGAACTTAAAATGAGAAAGGGATGATTATCTTGTTGGGATTGTATTATAGCGCCCCCACCCCATAGTCAGTGGGAAATTGAGAAGCAAATATGTACAGAGATCTCAGATATCTATAAGAAAAATAGTGTTGCATTGGTTAGGGATTTTAACTATCCAAACACAGACTGGGACTGTCATAGTATTAAGGGCTTGAATGGAACAAATTTGTTAAGTGTGTACAAGCAAACTTTCTTATTCAACATAGATGTAGCTATTAGAGAAGGAGCAATACTTGACCTTCTGTTGGGAAATAAGGCAGAGCAAGCGACAGAGGTATCAGTGGGGGAGCACTTTGGGGCAAGTGGTCATAATTCTATTAGTTTTAAAATAGTTATGGAAAAGGATGGAACTGATCAAAAAGTTAAAGTTGTAAATTGGAGTGAGGCTAATTTGGAAGGTATTACACAAGAACTTTCAAAAAGTTGATTGGGGAAGGCTATTCACAGGTAAAGTGAAAACCAAAAGAACTGCGGATGCTGTAAATCAGGAACAAAAACAAAGTTGCTGGAAAAGCTCAGCAGGTCTGGCAGCAGTTCTGAGGAAGGGTCACTGGACCCGAAACGTTAACTCTGTTTTCTCCTCCACAGATGCTGCCACACCTGCTGAGCTTTTCCAGCAACTTTGTTTTTGTTCCAGGGAAAGTGAATTTGTTTGGGAAGTGGGAGGCCTTTAAGCATGAGATAAGAATATTGAATATTGAGTGACTAATATTTTACTTCAGTATTTAATGTGGAGAAGGAAATGGAACTTGGAAATAAATGGTGGTGGCTTGAAAAAAGTTTATATGACAGAAATGACTATTACGAGGGGCCATAATTTTAAGGTGATTGGAGGAAGGTACAGGGGAGATGTCAGAGGTAGGTTCTTTACACAGAGAGTGGTGGGCGTGTGGAATGCGCTGCCGGCAGTGGTAGTGGAGTCAGATACTTTAGAGACTTTTAAGTGACTCTTGGATAGGCACATGGAGGATAGCAAAATGTAGGGTCTGCAGGGTAGGTTGATCTTAGTAGGATAATAGGTTAGCACAACATCGTGGGCCGAAGGGCCTGTACTGTGCTGTACTGTTCTATGTTTTAGGAGGAAGTGCTGGAGATCTTAAAATACATAAAGGTAGATAAATCCCCAGGACCTGATCAGGTGTTTCCCAGAATTTTGTGGGAAGCTGGGAGGAAATTGGTGGGCCCCTTGCTGAGATATTTGTATCATCAATAGCTATGGGTGATCAAGGAGGTTGGCTAATGTGGTGCTGTTATTTAAGAAAGGCTGTAAGCAAAGCCAGGGAACTAGAGACCAGTGAGCCTTGCATCAGTGGTAGGTAAGGTGCTGGAGGGGATTCTGAGGGACAGGAGTTACATATATTTGGAAGTGCAGTGTGTGATTAGGGATAGTCAGCATAGCTTTATGTGTCTTACTAATTTGATTGAGTATTTTGAAGGGGTGACAGAGAAGGTTGATGAAGGCAAAGCAGTAGATGTCTGTATGGACTTTACCAAAGCATTCGACAAGGTTCTGCATGGTAGAATGATTGGTAACGTTGGATCACACAGGATCCAGGGGGAGCTAGCCAATTGGATACAAAATTGATTTCAAAGTAGGAGACAGGGTGGTGGTTGAGTATTAGAACATAGAACATTACAGCGCAGTACAGGCCCTTCGGCCCTCGATGTTGCGCCGATCTGTGAAACCAATCTGAAGCCCATCTAACCTACACTATTCCATTATCATCCATATGTTTATCCAATGACCATTTAAATGCCCTTAAAGTTGGCGAGTCTACTACTGATTTTGGACTGGAGGCCAGTGACCGGTGGTGTGCCGCAAGGATCAGTGCTGATTCCCTGCTTTTTGTCATTTAATTAAATGACTTGGATTTGAATATAGGAGGTATGGTTAGTAAGTTTGATGACACCAAAATAGGTGATGTAGTGGAGATGAAGAAGATTATCTCAGAGTACAACAGATCCTTGATCAGATAAGCCATTGGGTCAAGGAATGGCAGATAAAGTTTATTTAGGATAAATGTGACGTGTTGCATTTTGGTAAGGCAAACCAGGGCAGGACTTACACAGTTATAGTAGGGCCCTGGGGAGTGTTGCCCAACAAAGAAACCTAGGGGTGCAGGTGCATAGTTCCTTGAAAGTGGAGTTGCAGGTAGACTGGGTGATGAAAAAGCATTTGTCACCCTTGCCTTCATTGGTCATAACATTGAATATAGAGTTGGGATGTCATGTTGCAACTGTACAGGATGTTGGTGAGGCCACGTTTGGAATATTGCGTGCAATTCTGGTTGCCCTTCTATAGGATGGATGTTATTAAACTTGAGAGGGTGCAGAAAAGATTTACAAGGATATTGTCAGGACTGGAGAGTTTGAGCTAAACGGAGAGACTGAATACATTGGGGCTTTTTTCTCCTGGAGTGTTGGAGACTGAGCTTACAGAGGTTTATAAAATCATGAGGGGCATGGATTGGGGAGTCCGAAGCTAGAGGACACAGTTTTAAGGTGAGAGGGAAAAGCTTTAATAAGGACCTGCGGGGTAACTTTTTCACACACTGGGTGGTGCGTGTTGGGAATGAACTGCCAGAGGAAGTGGTGGAGGCTGGTATGATTACAACATTTAAAAGGCATCTGGATGGGTATATGAATAGTAAGGTTTTAGAGGGGTATGGGCCAAATCTGGCAAATGGAACTAGGTCAGATTGGGATGTCTGGTCAGCGCAGATGAGTTGGACCAAAGGGTCACTTTCCAACCTGTATGACTCTGTCTCTATGTCCATTCACACACCTTCCCTTCTCCCCCCGCCCCAACCGTCCATGCATACCCAACCTCATCCATCCATATTCCACCCCGCCCCATCCATGCACAGGTCCCCATCCATCCACACACTCCCCCACATTCACCTGTAACCCCAAATCCATCCGCCGCTATCCACAAATCAATATACATTCCCCATGCATTTACACACTTCAGTCCATCCATTCACCATATATTGACACTCCTCCTCATCCATTCATTCACACTTCCCTCCTTCATCATCTACACCTTCATCCCCATCTGTTCACTGCCCCCATTCACTCTTAGCCCAAACTGATCTATCCTACTTACAACTCAATACACACCCTTTTTCAAGCACACCCCCTCATCTACACTCCCCACCAATCTACACACCTGAATTCAACAACACACCTCCATTCATCTGCACATCCTCATCTACCACACCTTATTTCTTATTCCCCCATACCCACCCCCTTAATCCATCAATCCACCCCACATTCCATTCACCCTGTCTAGGTGGCAGAGTCTGAGACCAAACCTGGGAGTGGTAAAGATGAAAGGAGAGAAGGAAAGGAGGAGACTTGCTGCAATGAGAAGAAAGGGTGGGGTGGGAGGGACTTCCTGGGGTGGAGGAGTAATGTGGGGCAGGCATACTGTAGTTTGGAGGGGTGGTGGTGAAGAGAGGCTTTTTTGGGGTGAAAGAGGCATCCCAGGTTGGGGAGGAGGGTTGGGATTGTTATAGAGGTTTGGAAGGGCAGACGTATAGGGAAGAGGCTCCCTGGTGATGGGGTGGGTGCAATGGTAGGGGAAGGGGAGGGGTGTGAATGGAGCTGGTGGAGGCTACATGGGATGCTGGGTTTCATTGAAGGATTGACCAGGCTTGCTAACTCCAGTAGGAGAATCGGAGCCACAAGCCATCTTGAGGGTTTGAAGACGTGCAGTGAAATAGGGCAAAAACTGTTGTTTTGTAAAGAATTTAATTTGTTTAATGCATTCCACATCCATCGAAAGGTACCCCTTAATGGCTGAAAGCTACTTTTTTCAATATATGGAGTACCACATGAGCTGCCCATTTACACACAGCAAGATATTGTAACTGCAGTGTGACACTGACCATCTTCTCTTTTCACTGATGTTGGTTGAGGAATTAATGTAATTAATTTTCTGTGGTCATACACAATCTGATTTTACTGGATAAATTCCAGAAGTATCATTGTGAATATTGAGAAGTCTAAGACTTGATGATTGTTCTTCTATTGTCTGAGCTCAAGTGTTTAGATTCTCGGGAGAGAAATTGCAGCCAGGATCAAGCTAGTTGGGTGAATTCCTCAGTAACATCAATTGGTATGAAGTCTTATTTGGTACTAAATCTTCATATTTTCTAAACTTAAGAAGAGTAGGCAATAACTTAGTTCCAAGATTCTTCAGGATGAGGATTAATCTGATCTGGACAGGTCAATGTATGTGATAGTTCCTCTCAGGCTCTAGGTAATTTTGCAATGTAATGTGTTAATAGATTGTGTCATCCTAGCTGCATGGTGGAAAGTTTGCCAACGCCATAGTGCCACAAAGATGATTGATTTACCAAACTGCAGGAATTTCCTACATATACACACAAATCCTCCTTGCTGACCTCTTGCCTTTAGTTTTCTTATGGCAAAAGTAGATGAGGTTTGCCCCAGCCAGGGAAGTGTGTGCGATCTGTATCATCCTTATAGAAATGCTACTTGTGTCCTCTTCACATCGCTTTGTTCGGCTTTTAAGGTGCGATGATGGAGTTCTGTAACTGTCAAGTTGGGCAGTAGAGATGCTGAGGAATGTCAGTGCTGTTGAGTGGAACACAAATCCTGGAGTTTACATTAGACACTTGTTAGTTAGGTATATAATAATCAAATATAATTAGCCTTGATCCTGTCCAGTCTCAAAAGAATGCCTCTTACCACACCCACTATGACATTTTGCATTTCTTCTATGAACCATTCTGGAGCCTCTAATTGAGTTTGCCAAATTAGTGCTGTTAAGACCCAAATTAAGAGAATCAATTTTTATTTCATACAGGACAATCAAGGTTGTCTCAAATGCTTGTTCTGGACCCAGCTCTCAGAATTGTTTTACTGTGCTTCGCACAGCTTGCTTTTGCCAAGTTAGGAACACCTGAACTGATCACTAATAGCCTATGTTTCATCAATACTTGGAATGTCGTAGTATCAGAAATTTGGGAGGATTAATGACTGGGGTGTTCTCTAGCGCCGCTAATTTAATAAATTGCAGTAGAATTGATTCCTGCTTGTGTGCTGACATTAAACAGTGGGAATATTAATACCATTGGGCAGTGGTTCGTAATCTTCAGAATTTTTAATGTTTAGTGTATCGGCCATTAATATTGACTGACAATCTGCAGAAGTGTGCACTTAAGTGGGAGTCATTAGTATAATCCATAAGAATATTAAGTTTGGATTCATGGCACTAATCAACCCCTCTTTGTATGAAACCTATTGTTGGTGAACTAATCTGCCATACAATGGCAGTTATTTAATGTTTTACTGCCATTAATGTGACTCAGCAATGGCATTCTGGTCCCTGAACTTGAACATTGTGGGCTCAAGGACATGACTAAATAATCTAGGTTGACACTTCGATTCAATACTGAAGTGTTATATTGCTCTGGAGAATTGCATTAATGTGAAATACTGAATTCAGGTTCTGCCTGCCTGTTCAGATGAATATGAAGCATCCTCGACTATCTTTGTTGGAAGGCTCAGAATTTTGCCTGGGTTCTGGCCAAGATTAATTTTGATGTTATTCATTCATGGGATGTGGGCATCGCTACCTAAGGCAGCATTTGTTGCCTAGCCCATATTGCTGTTGTCAAAGTGGTAGTGAGGCATCATCTTGAACCACTGTAGTCCTTGGGCGACCAGCTACACTTGGTGCTGTTTGGAAGGGAGTTCCAGGATTTTGATGAACCACAGTGATTGAATAGTGATATGGTGCCAAGTCAGGATGATGTGTGAATTGGAGCGGAACTTGCAGGTGGTGGCGTTTCCACATAACTGCTGGCCTTGTCCTTTTTGGTGGTAGAGGTCACGGTTTGGAAGGTACTGTTGAATTCTTTAGTGATTAACTACTCATACTTTCATTTCTTCTTTGCACAAATTTTGTAGGATTTTGTAGGATCTTGCAGGAGCCAACTGTATTATTGCTTGTTTGTAGTTTTAATAGTGAATTAGTCACCTTAAATAGTGTTAATCACTGTTATATGCTAGCTGTATTTGAATGAATGTATTTCTTAAATTACCATATGAAGAATAATAAACAAAATTCGCTCGATTATCGGCAGTAAATACTAAGCTATTGAAATTATATTTCAGATTTTTAAAATAATATTTTGCCCAGCTGTGGATTTTTCCCCTTGCTGTCTGGAAGCCTTTTATGCAATGGCTGCAATGGCATCGACAGCCCTGCTAATAGAACACAGCACAGGAACGGGTCCTTCAGCCCATGATGTTGTGCCAAATTGAGCTAATCTGTTCTGCCTTCCCTTGGTCCATAACCCTCCATTCCTTGCATATTCATGTGCTTATCTAAAAGTCCCTTAAATGCCACTATTGTATCACCCTCCACTGCCACCCGTAGCAGTGCGTTCCAGACTTCTACCACTCGCAGTGTAAAAATAACTTTCTCCTCACATCTCCTTTAAACCCCCCCCCGCCAGCCAACCTTAAATGCACACCCCCTTGTAATAGTATTTCAACTCTTGGGAAAACGATTCTGTCAACCCTATCTGTGCATTTCATAATTTCACAGATTTCTATCAAGTCTCCCCTCAGCCACCACCACTCCAGAGAAAACAACTCAAGTTTTTCTAGCCTCACATTATATCTCATACCCTCTAATCCAGGCAGTATCCTGGTAAACCACTTCTTCACCCTCTCTGAAGCCTCCACATCCTTCCTGTAATGTGGCGGCAGGAATTGAATACAATTCTATTGAGTTTACATTTACTGTTCTATTTGCCAAGAGTTTTCAGTCAGCACTGGAGACACTGGCCTGGGTTTCCTCACATTGGCATTGAACTAATTTATAGAGCTCCTGACTGTCTCTTCGGTATCAGCTAACTTGGTAGAGGCGAGGAATTGAAACTGGGAACTTTGGTCGATGTAGCTCTTTAAAACGCAGTGTTTCAAATCTAGAAATTGGAAGAATAATGCTTGAAATGCATCTTTTTAAATTGCTTAAAAAAGGCGACTAAATGGATAAAGTTGGTGTAAAGTACAAGGTTTAAGGTCTTAAAATTTTAACTAAAAGGACCGTCATTCTAGTTATTCTTAGTTGTGTCCTTACTGCTTGACTGTTTATTCCTCTCCTTACAAATTTTACTTCGCAGGTGCAAGCATTGAAAGAGTGTATTGAAGCAGAAAAGGGCACTGGTTTCCCTGTTGCTGGTCAGAAACTCATTTACGCTGGAAAGATTCTAAGCAACGATGTGCAGCTCAAGGAATACAAGATTGACGAGAAGAATTTTGTCGTTGTTATGGTAACAAAGGTATGCAGTGTTTTTTGCGTTTCCAGTGTGAGAGATGATTGTGAGGAAGAACTTTTTTCATGTACTGGATGGTAATGATTTGGAACATACTGCCTGCAAAGCAGGTGGAAACTGAAGCAATTAATGATTTCAAAAGTCAATTAGATGGATATTTGAGGAAGATAAATGCACAGGGCTATGGGACTATCGTAGAATCTGTACAGTGTGGAAGCAGACCATTTGGCCCATCAAGTCCACGTTGACCCTCTGAAGAGCATCCCACCCAGACCCAACCCCTGTAACCCTGAATTTCCTATGGTTAACCCACTTAGCCTGTACATTATGGGCAATTTGGCATGGCCAATCCCCCTAACCTACACATCTTTGGACTGTAGGAGGAAACCCACACTGACACGGAGAGAATATGCAAACTCCACATAGACAGTCATTGAGAGTGGAATTGAACCAGGGTCCCTGGTGCTGTGAGGCAGCAATGTTAACCACTGAGGCACCATGCCATCCCAAACAAACTGGATTGCTCTGTAGAGTGCTGTACCTGATTGGCCTTCTGTTCTGATGAATGTACGACTCTGACGTATGGGCTACAACATCTCTGTGGATTGAAACACTTTCATGTGAGTTATTTAGAATATATTGATACTTGCTTTATCAGTTGAAAAATAAGGTGCCATAGAGGAGAGGTTATGCTAGCATTCTGATTTGTTCCCTCAGAATCTTCTAAGTTGTCCTGTAATTGTTGGGGAGATCATTCTAACAAATTCAATTGAATTTTTTTGAGGAAATGACTACATGTCTGGATGAGTATAGTGCATTTGATGTAATCTACATGGCCTTTGATAGACTTTTGATAAGGTGTTGGATGGGAGACTGGTCAAGTGGGTGAGAACCTTTAGGATCCAGGGCAATTTGGCCAAATGGATCCAAACTTAGCCTACTGGCAGGAGGCACAGATGCTGGCTGAAGGTTGTTTTGGTGACTGGAAGCCTGTGTCCAGTGGCATACCACAGTATTAGGTGCTCGGTCCCTTGCTGTTTATGGTGTACATTAATGATTTGGAAATGAATGTTGTAAAATTTGTCAGTAATTTTGCAGATGTTGGTGGTGTGGTAAGGAGTGAGGACAAAAACTTTAGATGACAAGAAAATGTAGAAGGGGCTGGTCAAATGAACAGAACAATAGCATATGAATTTAATCCTGAAAAGTGTGAAGTGATGCAGTTTGAGAGGATTAACAGCTTAAGGGAGTACGGAATGAATGGTAAGATTCTGGGTGTTGGGGATTAGAGGGCCCATATATTTATAGCCTCGAAGGTACCAGTTGGATAGGGTAATTAAGAAGGCATACTTGCTTTTATTAGTTGAGGCATTGAATATAAGAGCAAGGAAGTTATGGTGGAGTTCTGCGGGGCATTGGTTTGGCCTACGCTGGAGTAGTGTGTGCAGTCCTGGTCACCAGGAAGGATGTGATTACACTGGAGAAGGTGCAAAAGAAACCCACCAGAATGTTGCCTGGGGTGGAGAGTTTCAGCTATAAAAAGAGATAAGGTTGGAGTTGTTTTCCATGGAGCAGTAAAGGTTGAGGAGGGACCTGATTGAGGTGTACAAAATTATGAGGGGCAGAGAAATAGGCAAAGTAAAAGTAAAGTCTCCATAGTCCAACTGGACCATTAGGGATGCTCTCTCATTAGAAAAATGACAGGTGGCATTTTAATCTGACAGTCACCATGCCTCAGGTGAAGGAAGAGTTTGAGAAGGAGAGTCCTTCATGGTAATCTCAGCTGGTGTGAAAATTGAACCCATGCTGTTGGCATATCTCTGCATTGCATTCCAGCCACCCCATCAACTGAGCTAAACCGAGCCCACAATAGCATAGGAATATCTTTAGTAAATTCCCTTACTAGAGGTGTTAATTACCAAGCCATTTAGATGTAAGGTGAGGGGCAGAAAGTTTACAAGGGATTGAAGGAGAAATTATTGTTGTTTTAACTCATTCGTGGAATGCGGGTGTCACTGGGTAGGCCAGCATTTATTTTCTGTCCCTAATTGCCCAGAGGGCAGTTAAGAGTCAATCACATTGCTATGGGTCTGGAGACACATGCAGGCGAGACCAGCTAAGGACACCAGTTTCTTCACCCAAAGAGCAGTAATGAACTAGATAGGTTTTTCCAACAATTAACTGTTTCATGATCATCATTATACTATTAATTCCAGATTTACCATGGTGGGATTCAAACCTGGATCTCTGGATTAATAGTCTAGTGATAATACCACCAAGCCATCATCTCCCCTATCTGCGATTCATTGTCTTAAAGAGTGGTAGAGGCATGCACAATCACAATAATTAATATGCATTTGGATGAATGCTTGAAATACCATAGCATACAAGACTGTGGGTCAATTGCTGGGATGTAGGATTTGTGTAGATAGGTGTTTGATGACTGGTGTGGATGTGGTGGGTCTAAGGGCCTCTTTCCGTGCTGTGATACTCTGGCTCATCTGTTATTTCCATAACCTCTGCGTGAAAGATGTATTATCATTTTTTAGAACCCACCTACCCTATTCCAAAATGTCTCACTGAGCAAGATGTTTGGAGTTATATTGTAGGTGGGGTTATGAATATCAGTAATGTGTCAGGTAATTGATACATTACCGTAGAGTTCACTGTTGGCAACAGAGCAAATGTGATATTGTCCTTTGTTACTGATTTGAAACACACTTTAAATCTGTGTTCAGTATGTGCAGGTGGTTACAGTTTAAGAGTGGGGCTGAAGGGTTTTATCTCATTAGCTGCATTTGTGTCTCGTCTCTTTTTCTGCAAGTTTCCACCCTTATCTCATCACTGACACAATAGTTGCATTTCTGTATTTTACAGGGAAATGATGCTTTCTTCAAGCATGCTACATACCTAATTCTGAATTAATTCAATAACTTTGAATAGATATTTAATTAAAAGTACAATCTTTTGTTTACAAATTTGCAGCCGAAGAGTACACCCACAGAAACAGGATCTGTTTCTACAGTTGCACCATCCTCCACACAGTCGCAGCTGGAAGGAGAGGAGAAACAGAATACAGATGATAGAAGCCAGGCCCAGACTATTACCAGCTCTGTTTCAATATCCAGGTATAAGATAATAACAAAATCTAGCAGTAGCTCCCAGCTTCCTATGAAGAGAAAGGAAAAATACTCTAATGTGTTTTTTTCCCAAGGTATGGAAAAGGCTCAGACTTGATGAAAAATGTGGAGGCACTTGCGGATTTACTGTTAAGTGTCTCCGGGTGAAGCTCTCAATCTTGGTCAGTGGGTAAGTTCACTCCTAGGTACACTGCCGAGCTGTGCAGACTACAACACCACTACTACCAACTTGCATTTGTATTGTGTCTGTAATATAGAGGAATGTCCCAGAGTGTTTCACAGGTGCCTTGTAAAATAAAATATGACACTCGGCTACGTAAGAAGGTATTAGCCTGGATGACCAAAACTTGGTCAAGGAGGTAGGATTTATGAATTCTGTAAAGGAGCAGAGTGATGTACAGAGAGAATTCTAGCACCGGGGGTCTGGGTTACTGAAGACACACCACCATTGGTCAAGCAGTTATAATTGGGAATGCATAATTGGGAATTAAAAGAGTACCGACTACAGACAGCGAGTGATTATGATGATGAGGAGATCTCTGAGATAGGGAGAGACAGGTCACAGAGGGACTTAAAAACAATATAAGTTCCTTGGTTAAATCTATGATGGTGTCATCTTAGTTATCCCAGATTGGCAGTGCTGGAACTGTATAGTGGGCCTTTGTGCCCTGCACTAGGGCAGTGAACAGCAAAATGCTTCTGGTTTCTGATCACTATTCCACCACTGCTGTTGGAAAGTGAGTGATCGTCAAAAATCAGTTTGTACTCTAGTACCTTCCATGGATGAGCAGCATATATTTCTAGGCATGAATATAAGAAATGGTCTACTGCCTGAAAAAATGAAGGCAACCAACAACAGCAAAAGTCTGCCCTACATCAGTGAACACCTTTAGAAGAGGAGTGGAGAAAAGGGAGGATGGGAGAATCCTGTCTCTAGGGTAAGTCATTCAAAAGGTTCCTTTTTAGCTGTTGTTTTGTGAAAGTCTGTTACAGCAAGCGCAATGGACATCCCGTTGATGATATGGCAGTTCTCCAGCATGCTCTGCTATGGATATCAGAATTCAAATGCATAAATCCAATCAGCGTTCTGCGTTGGCTGACGTGAATATTTCTGCTTTTATTTCAGATTTCCAGCATCTCTAATACTTTGCATTTTATATCAGTTCAAGGAGACAAGAGTCTGAGAACCACCTCTGTGTATGTTAACTAAATCTGGATCCCTTATCCTACTATCAAAATTATCTGACTCTCAAATACCTGATTCTGTAATTCGTCCACTAGGAAGGGAGAACCAAATATAGCAGTGCCAGTGCAGGAGTATTGATATCCTGGAATCTGGAATAAAGGTGATTAGTAAAGAGTTCAAGGATTACAGGGTGAAGGTAGGAGAATAGGATTGAGAAACATACCAGCCATGATCAAATGGGGAGTAGACCTGATGGGCTGAGTAGCCTAATTCTGCTCCTGTATCTTATATCTTATGTACCAGTGCTATTGAAACTTCAGAATGATGTCATCTATGTCTGAATGATGTCTGAATTGTTGATGAAAGATGCCTCTTAAATTTATATTTGCAGTTCAATGCCCTCTTCAGGGAGTGACATACTGTCTGCTCCATTGTCAGTTAGTGACCTGCACCCTGCTCACGTTTCAATGATCGATTTAATCTCAGAACCGCGTTTGCAGAGTGACATGCCTGAAGATCTTCCCCATGATGGTGCTAGCACAACTGCAGGTCAGTAAATCTATAACTTTCCTTTTTTCAATACACACAAGGAATAGGACCAAGAGGGGAAAAAAGAGCAAAGTCTAAAAGTATCTACTATTAGAAATCATATTGTCAGCTTACAGTTTGCTGTTCCTGCACAACTGGAATAAACATAAATCAGTGATGACAGAATTTTACAATCATGAACTGCAGGAGGGAACTTTAAATATTCAGCACCATCTGATCTCTTTGTGGCAGGAACTTAATTTGTTTGTCAATTTGATTTGATCTATGAAATAAGTCCTGTGCTATTGTTTACATTTCCAGTGTCACACTTCCCCTGCTGGGTAACTCCCTATTATTTTAAGACATTGGGCAGCATCATGGAAGATTTGCTAGTGCATGTGTTTATTATATCTGTTAACATGAAATTGATGAATCATGTTGAACATAGACTGCTTTGTTGCCATTTGCTAATGCTGAATGTTTATGTTCCTCTAAAAGATTGTAATTTTGCAAACAATCGCCAGTACACCACACAAATCATGTTTTTATTATAAAACGTTTAATTTCTCCTTTCCAGTGAGGGACACCGCTTATGAAACTATGCTGTCAGAAATTATATCAATGGGTTATGAGCGTGAGCAAGTGGTGGCAGCATTAAGGGCAAGCTTCAACAACCCGCACAGAGCTGTGGAGTACCTGCTGACGGTAAGGTGTGTGTGTGGACATGGGTGGATGCTGCACACCCCATTTGCTGCACGTTTATCTGGCTGTATCTTGCAAAGTAATGGGATTTTGCGGGGATGGAAGACTTTAGCTGCAGTCCTCAGAAAGGGATATTAGTTAACTTCCCATTTGTTACATAGGACTATATAAGGTATAAAGCATAGGAACAATGACCACCTCATTTGCCTCACATTGTTATCCCCTATTTCCTTCTCCCTTATGCTTGTATATCTTTCCGTTAAATGCGTGTATGCTATTCGCTTAAAAAATTCCCAGTGGTAGTGAGTTTCACATTCTTAAATTTGCTTTTAAAAATTAACCTATTTTTCTAAGCAACCTGCGAAGAAATGTTATTGCACACCTCTGGAACAGGTGGGACCTGAACCCAGGCCTCCCAGTCCAGACGTAGGGACACTACTACTATGCCACAAGAGGGCTCCTCTACACATTTTGGGTAAAGAAGTTTCTTCTGAATTTTCTACTTAATTCTGGGGAGAAAATGGACCTTTAGTCCATGAAAACGTGGTAGTGAGTAAGAGGCAAGATTAAACTTGACCTGGACCAATGCTGGCGGTTCCTTCACTCTCACTAGGTCAAATTTCTGGAACCCCCTCCCCAGCAGCACTGTGGATCTAACTAAACAACATGGATTCCAGCAGTTCAAAGAGGCAGCTCACCACAACCTTATCGAGGGCAATTAAGGACGGGTATCAAGTGTTGGCCTAGCCAGCAATGCTCATGTCCTGTGAAAAATGTATAAATGAAAAGGAAGGAAAAGTAGCATGTCCAAGTGGTTTTCCTTTGGATATGAACTACGTTAATCATGTTTAAATTGTAATATTGTGCTTGACAATGAGGAAATGTTGTAATTTTTCCTGTGTTTACAGTGTATTTTTCTAAATAATAACCAATATTACAATAGGCTACCTCAATGGAATAACTGAAAGTGGGAGAGGGAATGATAGGAGAATGCAGTATTTATGCTGTATCATAAGAACTCAGCATTGTAAATGTTAATCAACCTTGCTGCAGAGCTGCATTGAATCTCTCTTGCCTCCTTTTTAATCTTTATAGGGTATACCTCAAAGTCCAGTGCAGGAGAGTGCAATGCCGCATGATAGTAACGACTCTGGTCCACTAACAATCCCAGAACAACAAGGTAAAGGACAGAGATAGTAGGAACTGCAGATGCTGGAGAATCCGAGACAACAAGGTGCAGGGCTGGATGAACACAGCAGGCCAAGCAGCATCATAGGAGCAGAGAGGCTGACGTTTCGGGCCTAGACCCTTC